TTTTGGTGAGCCATGGGGGCTTTTGCACCCTCTTGCCTCCTTTATCCATGTTGGGATTACCTCCCGTTGGGCTAACAGGGGAACTGGGATAAAGTTTTGAGATAAAATTTTATTTATTTCATTATTTTTGTATTTTTTTATTACTGTTGCATTAAAAATAAAACCTAGACAAATATCTTTCTTTTAAATAACGATGTCTGAGATTGTTAAAACAGAAAATACAATACTGTCTAAATTTGAATATATTATTCTAAGTGCTTATTACATGTGTTTTCAAGTTCAAAATTAGTTAGGAACAAAATACTTGACGAAATAATGTGTTTAACCCTTAAGACTTCAATGAATAAAAAGCATTCATAAATGTATAACTCTAAAAAATATGTACATAGAAGAACAATTTTATATTGATGAAAAAATATCTTCCTATAAAAATCCTGGTCCCACTTAACCAGAATTTTATCACTGGCTCTAAAAAAGCAGAGCTGGGTGCATAATAATATGATTTTAATGTTGTATTAACCTCTGTGTTAAGCAATAGCCAGTTTAATATTTGGGCTACTATGTTTCTCAGTATTTGATCTGCTGTATATTTTACATTAATGTTCGTTGGCTAGACACACCATCTATTCATTAAAATTGGATAATTAAAATTCAGTTTCTGGTTATCAACTGAATCTTACTAGATTGTCACATTTAACTTAAGTTTTTTGTCTTTTCTTTGGTGCTTTCACATCTTTATTTATAAATTGAGAAACATCTTTTGTAAAGTTTCTGTCAAAAGTAACTTATTCTTTATAGTCCATTAGCCCGTTATAGCCCACTAGCATTTAAAGCACCATATATATATAAAATAATTATCAACTACATCGCAAAAATATTAATCGAGGGAAAATTGTCTTGGTATTGACGTTGGTATGATGTATTCCTCTTCCTCACTTGAAACCTTTTTCATTAAGTAGAATCCTTTTGACCTATATTCCAATATGGGTTCTTAAGATGTACGCATATTTGGATAATATAACTTGATAAAAAAAACAGCTACACAAGCCAATAATGTCAGTGATGGTCTTAAAGCTACAATATAAATGCAGAATTCATCACAGCCTTTCACCCATGGTGGACGCCAATTATAGTATTCTATAAAAAAGCACAATTCTTATTAGGCATGAATGTAATTATAACAACTAGAATAATCCAGGTAATAATGAAGAATTAGAATACATACCAATAATTCTATCACGTGTTGCATTTTCTAGAAAAAGAGAAGAAATAAATGGTTCTATCAGGCAAAAAGGTGTTGTTCCATTTCAGTTTTCATTAGTTAACTTACAGAAACAGTAATTAATAAACAGCCTACTAGAAGTTGTCCATTTCAACTAACGATATTTAAAAATAATCGCAAACTTCTTAGACCTAAAATATATTTTATACAACATTCATGCTTCTTGGATAGTATCCTCTAATGTAAATAAGAAAGATTTAAATGCCTTTCACACTTCTAATAACCACTGGTTAAAAAAAATAGAGGTGGGGGGGGAGTTTTATTTCCCATGCAGATCATTGGTGTTTTTCATTTTCAAAAAGATGCCAATTGATCTCCAAAATACTATGTAGAACTGATAACTATTAGTTTTCATATTTAACAAAGAAGCAAAGTAACATACCAATTGAGGTCAATATTTTTTCAGAAATATGCATTAATGTTGTGTATATCAATATTTGGGTGCCAAATTTGAGATGGCTTGTGTCTGATTTTCAGAGCTACTGAGGACCTGAAGTTAAAGTGTCTCAAATTGGCTACCTAAAAATTGAGGCACACAGTATTTGTATATGTTTCTGAAAAGGACTTTATATGTAACTTAAGGCTGCATACACACATTCAAGTGGTTCTCCTGGTAGAGAAATTTACCCAGAGTCATGTGTACAGACATTTCAGTGCTGAGGCCCTCAAGAATGGAGAGATTACAATGCTGATTTGTGCAGCTGGGGGAGGAAGCAGGGGCTTTGCACACATTTCTGCATGCTCTACAGGCTCCCTCAGTTTGTCTGGCAACAGATGGTAGCTTTGAATTGGGCAGTCCTGATTGGTTGACCCAGACTGTCCATGGTCAGCCTATGTTCCTCTGCTGCATAATGTACAGATTGTGAAGGGGGCCTATTCTGCTTCCTGTTGAAGCAGCAGAGCACCATCTGTCAGGGGAGTATGAGGGACATGATGGAGGATTGTGTTCTCTGAGAGAAGTCATGGTATGTACAGACATTAGTTCTCCCTGGCCACATCCACCCAAGTGTGGATGTTTGTTTCTCTGGGGACAAGAAGCAGTGGCTTTGTGCACTTCTAGTTGTCTCTGGGGACACCTGTGCCACACACCCCAGGTTATCCCAGGTGGGGTAATGGAGGCTGGTACCAGCAGCCTTACCTGGGGTCCTGGGGGTCTCCTGGGGCTGCAGCACTGGTGATCCTGCTGCTCAGAGTCTAGCTTGCAGCCGGAACATGGCTCCAGCCAGCCAGGCCCTGGTTCTGGACACACAGTTTTGGGTGGTGTACACTGTCCCTGCATGCACTGCTCTGCATTTTTTTTTTTGCGCAGGTTTTTTTAATCTCCCAAGGTCAAAAAGCCTTCCGGCATGGAGAACAGCTGAATGTGTAGTATGTGGCGCCACAGACATATCTGCTGCACCACATACCGCATGGTGGTGTTCATCTAGACATGGCTCCTGAGTGTGATTTAACCCTGGGTGTTTCCAGGTTATTTTTCTCTTGGAGTGGCAATTTTTACTTTGGGAGAAAAAACCTGAACATCTGCATACTCATGGTTTCTCCTAGGAGAAGAGCAACTCTCCCAGGAGAAACTGAATGTCTGTACAAGGCTCTAAGCAAGAAACAACTTACAAGCAGAACTGCAGGTACATTTTGCTGCTTAGTTTTGGTCTCAGTTCAAACATCTAAACTAACCTAAATAAATATCCTGACTTCAGTATAAGGCAATTTATAGTTTATGACTTCTAGGTAGGTTAAACAAAGAACTCATGCCTCAACTCATCCATATATGCTGCACTTATTCTGCAGTTCTTGATGTTGCTAATTGCTTTTCTTATGAAAACTATAAAGAAGTCTGAAAAATTTACCAAGCTAGCTGGGGTTCTATCTATGAGCAACAATGGGAAAAAAGTAGCGCTACACCAGTATATTGGTTGCATATCAGATTGGCACTGATAAAAGGAAAATTAACATTATCAGCTATTGGCTTTTTTAGGTTTAGGTGATAATGTCACCAATAAATACAATATGCCTTCTGGCTGGGGCCCCTAGACACTGTGTGTATGCACATAGCTAAGAAAGCAGCTGGGCAGCATGGAGAGCAGTGCCTTGCAGGTAAGTCTGTGGAGGGGAAAGGGGAATGGGGTAGGGTAGGGGCTTGAGAGGGGGTAGATAGAGGCCCCTATGGTGAGGAATGGAATGGGGCAGGGGCTGGGGGTGCTGCCTAGCTAGGGCAGTGAATAGGACCTGGGGCTGGGGCAGGGAGCAGGATGGAGCTGCAGGCAGCTCGTCCAGGGGGCGTGGGAGAGGGAAGTGGGGAGTGGGGGCATCTCCTCACTGCTGCACACACTCCCTGGGGGGAGGCATAGGGGATGCATATGACCCCCTCCCCCCAATTTGTGCATGGAGTGGATGCAGGTTGTTTGCTGTGGGCTCAGAGCTCTGCTGTCTTCCCCTTGGGACTCCCATACGAGCCATGTCTCCTCCTCACCCAGCAGCAGTGGGGCAGTGAGTTGTGCCTCTTGCTGCCAGGCAGGCAGGGGATGCGCAGCCAATGCAAGGCCCGCAGCAGGGCTGAGAGCCCCGAGTCCACAGTGGGCAGCCTGCATTTGCCCTTGTCCCACTCAGCACTGCTCCGGTTAAAAGTATCCCTCCACTTAATGGTGGCAGCAACACTTGAAATAAAGCTCATTTGACAAGTTTTAGTTCAACCACTGCTGCTGCCATTTTAAAGCACCAGGACACTGATACCCTGGATGAGCTACCCACAGCTCTTTTCTGCTCTCTGCCCTGGCCCTGGGTCCCATTTACTACCCTGGCTGGGCAGTGCTGCCAGCCCTAGTGCCTGCCCTTGCTCCATGCCTTCCCTCACCATGGGAACGTCAATCTGCACCCCCCACTCCACTTCCTTCCCCCACACAGACTTCCTTCCCCCACACCCTTTCACCACAACCGTCTTACCTGCAGGAAGCTGCTCTCCATGCTGCCCAGCTGCATTCATGTAAATTGTTTACCTGATTGGTATCAGCTGATATGGCTGGTTAATAATTGGCTATTGGTATTGGCCAAGAAAATCTTTATCGGTGCACCCCTAGAAAAAAGCTTGCTAGCTAGACAATTAAATTGAAGACAAAGAATTTAAGATAAAGAAGCCCCACATTTTATGGAATAAAACCCAGATGAAATACCAAGAACTCCCACCATAATATGCCACTAATTAAATGTTATATGGAAAGAGTCTGCAAAGAAGGGCTCTCTCCCATAGCTTGTGCCAATGGGCAGAGCACATCTGAAGAGATAGATCAGTATTTTACACTTCCAGAATGAAACACATTTCCAAATTGTTACTGAACATGTAAATACAGAAATAAATAGATTATAGGCAGCCTGAAGAGAGTATTTGATTAGGTTTGACTTTCTTGATTTGGTGACATAAGCTGTTTTAATTCTAGCAGAAAGTCAGCGATTGGAAATATCAGGCTCTAGAGACAGTAATAATACTGGACTGTGATTGAACTGAAAGTTTGCAATGATCATTTGTGGCCTTGATAAAGTAAAATATGAAGTGCTTCGCTGAATAAGAATAGATTTAAGAATTATGTAAGTGCTTTGTTGCACTGAGCCTTAACAGAGCACTGAAGAGATAAACTAAACAAATGAAAAAATTCATATTTTTTTCCTATATTCTTTTTTACTACTGAGTAGATGTACATGTATATTTTTCTTTTGTCATATTGCTTAGTATATTCCTTTGTACTTACTACATAGTTTATTCACACAGGTGTCCCCACGTGGGCACTGACTGCACGGTGCTCCTTTTTGATAAGGTTTTCTTGGATAATTGCCACTAGAAAGACAGAACAAAATTTCTTTTAGATGAATCTTGCTGCAAATATTTATAAATAGGGCATATTTTGAAGTGTTAAACACTATAGGACAAGGGATAGCAACCTATAGTTCATGGACCAGATCTGGCCTGCAAAGGGATTGGATCTGGTTAATGAAGGTCTGACCTGATCTTCATTTTACTAAGGGCATGCCAAATCCTAACCATCTGATCTGGTGGCTGTTCCAGCCTGTGTGGAGAGATGTTCTTCCTCTGCAGCCTCTGTTCAGCTTTAGTGGAATGGCTGGCGGGGAATGGAAGCCCATGGCACTGGCTGAGTCATAAGCTGTGGCATGTGTTAGTAGGAAGTTGCCGACCCCCGCTTTAGGATGTTTGCTAACAGAACTGCTTATACTTCATGTTCAACTTCAAATATTTTATAAACCATTCTCTCATAGTTTCACTGTTATCTTTTCTCTATTAGAGATAACTGCATTAACACACTACTTTTATTTCTAAGGAAAAAAACTCTAATGTATTTTATTCAAACCCCACTTCATTAGATATATGAATTTTTAAATAAATATATAGGGGTAGAGCTTAGCTTCAAATAAGGCTGAGATGAAATAAATCTTAAAAGTAAAAAGCTTGTAAAATATCTTTCATTTAATTTGATAAGCAGTGAGATTTTGCAAAATAATTAACCTTGTGTGTAATTTTAAGCATGTGAGTGGCCCTACAAAATAAGTGGTATTACTCAGATACCTAAAATGTGTTGAGCTGGGACCTAAATCCTTAAAGACCATACAAACAGCATTGATTATTTTAATTCACAGCTTGCAGTGATCTTAAAGGCCCCTGGAAGACATTACACTTAAGATGCAATTAACCTGTTAATTATACCATAAATAGTAACTCTGACACATTCAGGAAATTAATAGTGTGACAAAATGGGAAACCAGCCCCAGAAATATTCCACAAAATATATATGATATATATATTAGGGCTTGATATATATACAACGGGGCTTGTTGGCAGCTCCCCAACATTTGGGTAGGCTGACAGACATGTAGTGAATCCCACAGTTTTTAGGTGCCAACTTGAGAGGAGCTCATCATCTGAGTTGGGGTGCCAGATTGCAGAAAGCTCTGGGGCTCATTGCAACCTGGCATGGTGCTTACCTTGCCCTGCTGCTCCCACAGCAGCTGAGGAGCAAGGTACATTTTGGTATTGGGTACCAGAGAGCCCCATGGCTCACTGTGACCCAGCAGGTTGACTTCCTTCACTTGCTGCTCCCACAGAGCTGTAGTGCAAGGCACTTGACACATCTAGGCCATGGGGACCTTAAGTTCAGGGAGGTTCCATGATCCCCAAATCCCCATGCACTAGGACTTTTAAAAACCATGCATGCAGCCAGGCTTCATGTGTAGTTTTCTAACATCCCTGATGCATGAGGCTCTTGGTCCCAGAGCTGGGACTAATAAGTCAGTTGTTAGTCCTGGTCCAGGGACCAAAACAGTTCGCTCTGAGTTGTGGGTACCTGGCTTTCAACTTGCTGGTACAGGGGAAGTCTGGAATAGCCCTGCACTGGCAAGTAGTAATGGTAGGATTAGGATCTGATCCCTGATCCCATAATTGTGTGTTCTGCCATGCGTGACATGGCAGGAGGTACAATTGTTGGGATTGAGGATCAGATCCCATGGTGCCATTAAATTAACGTATGACAGGGGCAAGAGGATATCACCCTGACTCCTGATTAGAGCTTCAAAGAAAGAAGCAAAGAATTGCTGGATCAGATATTCTTGTAGTCAAGTAAGTCTAAAGACTGGAAGGGAAAATGGAAGTAATTTCATATAAAATATACCCCAATACACTGCAGTAAAATGGAGAGGAAAACTCAGAATGTAAAAACAAGCTAAAGGAAATCTGTCAAAAAAGGAGTCTCTGAAAGCAAAATCCTTCCTCAATTAAAATACAAATCAGAAATCAAAATATGACTCCGAAATAAGTGTTTCAAATGAAAAAATATTCAATAATCCCAGGCTAATCTCGTATTATTTTATTGTAAAGTTGAACCAATCTGTACTGCTAAAGGCTATAGAATTTTCATTTATTCTAACACCAAGTTCCCAGTTTTAAAGGACCTTTTTCCTTTCTGGCCTGCTTGTCATACTCTTTGAGACTTGTAACATATTGGCTAGATCAGGTGTAGGCAACTTTTTGGCCAGAGTGCTGAAAAAACCTCAGTGTCTACCTGGTAAGGTGCCAGAGTGCTGGCATACCACAAAAAAAAAAAAACTGGGGCAGGGGGTACATGGCTGGACACACTGCATATTAATATAGTTAATAATCATAAATGTTGCTTTGGGGTTTTTTTAATGGTAACTACCAGGTTTTGTAAAAATTCTAAACCTTCATATACTACCTTTGTTCTTGTGTATTCTTTTTGGTTAAGCCTATTGTGATTAGAGAGAGAAAAAAAGGGAGAGAGAAAAAAGAGAGAGAGGTAAAGAGAAAGGAAAAAGAGAAAAAAGGGAGAGAAAGAGGTAAAGGAAAAAGAAAGAAAGGGAGGAAAAAAGAGAGAGAAAAAGGAAAGTAAAAAAAAGAAATAGAAAAGAGAAAAAAGAAGAGAAGGAAAGAAGAGAGAGAAAAAGAGAGCAAAAGAGAAAGAAAAAAGAAAAGAAGCTAGAGCTGGGGAGCTCAGGCCTCCCCGATGGTCCCAGAGTGGGAGAAGCCCAGGCCCAGGGCTAGGAGAGAGGGCCCAAGGGGTTTGAGCAGACAGATGTCCCATTCCACCTGGGTAGAGGCAGCACTGGGGCACTGAGCACCAAGGCAGGGCACTTGGGGCAGGACAGCACATGGAGGGATGGGGTGGGGCAGGCTGGCCCAGCCGGCCCCTTGAGAAGGCAGCAGCCACAGGAGAGCGGGGGCTGGGTGGGAAGTGGGGGCTGCCCTGGGGCTCTGCAGGCTCAGGCCAGGGCAGCTGGTCAGGGGTGCCCAGTGGCACCTGAGTTGGGTCCTGGCTGACCCGTGCAGCTCCACAGGGATGGGGTGCAGCTGCCTTGCCCATGAGGGGATGTCACCTGGCCAGGGCAGGATGCTGGGCTCACAGGGTTCCCAGCTCCAGGCTCAGCCTCCCTGCATGCTGGACACAGTGCAAGCAGGATGGAGCCACCCAATGTGGGGGCCCAGCTGCAGGAGCCCCCTGCGCTTGGGGAACAGCCCCCATGGGCAGAGCTCAGGGCCAAGCCAGCCAGGAGCCTGCAGCACAGTGTCCCTGTGCAGCTCCTGTTCCAGTCCCAGCCTCTGAAAAGGAGCTGTGGGTGGGCAAGGCCAGGACCTGGACAGACCGGGGCAGCCATGATGGTTGTTCCTGAGGTCCGGGGGGCTCCCATGGCAGCTCCACCCCACTCGCACTGTGCCCAGTGCACAGGGAGGCTGAGCCCAGAGCTGGAAGCCCCCAAAGCCCAGTGTCCAGTTCTGGTCAGGTGGCATCCCCTCATTGGCAAGACGGTTGCGCCCCATCCCTGCAGAGCTGCAAGGGCCGGGCTGGGCCAGGTCCCATCTTGGGTCCGGCTGGGCACCCCTTTCCGCCCTCCCACTGAGGCCTGAGTCTGTGCATCCTCAGGGCAGCTCCACTTCCCGCCTGGTCCCTGCCTTCCTAGGGATCCAGCTAAGCCAGCCTGCCTGCAGCACTTTCCTCCATGCCTTCTAGACCCTGTCCAGAGTGCCTTTTCCTGGCGCTTGGTACCCCGGTGCTACCCCCACCTGGGTGGGATGGGATGTCCAATTGCTCAAGCTCCAGCCAGGCACAGGGCTCACCCACCTGCTGGGAGCCTCCAGCGCAGCGGCCTTGCGCAGCACCTGCCAAGGCCCCAGCCCCACCCATCTGCAGCTCCCCTCCAGGGGCTGTGCTGGGCTGGAGGGAACAGTTCGGGGCACAAGAGGTGGGGTCAGCAGAATGCAGACTGCATTCATACCTGGATTCTCCTGACTCTGCCCCCAGTGCCTCTTGTGGCACTGAGATCTGTGGCTGGTCTGGATAGCCCAGAGCAGCCATTTAAAAAAAATGTTTTTTTAAAACAATTTCCTTGCATGCCTCCTGATGTGCTGGGTAAAATGTCTTCATGTGCCACTAATTGACACACATGCTGGGGGTTGCCTATCCTTGTTCTAGACTGAGACTCAGGTTCTCTGCTTCCACCTCCTCAGAGAGTTTCAGGAATCTGGGGTGAATTCTCTCTGATAACAGATGGAAAAACTTGTTCTGCAAGCAGTTCCATGTTAACCACAATATGAGGCATATTGTTCATATTGATTCTGGGAAATTTTCTTGAGAGCTTTCTCTCCCCCTCTGCTAAAAGTAAAAGATCTACTGAAAACTGGAGTAATAAGAAGCAGTGTGTTCAGTGTCTGATGTACTGCAAATGCCTCATCAAACTCTATGTAGAGGCACAGGGGGGATCGTCAGACCTCAGGTTAATTTCCTTATTAATGCAGTAAAGCCATCTCAGGTGCTTAATCCATTCTCAGCACTGCATTCTAAGCTTCTGGATGCTAACTTAAGCAAATTTGGCTTGAAATAACAAGGGATCCTGCTTTTCTCTGTTTAAAAATTGCAAATTCTCTGATAAAATGGTGCATTCTCTGATTAAAAGACCCCAAACTCACATTTTTCCATGATTAAAATGAAACACCACTATATATATAGGTAGCAGTTGAACACAATGTTTTATCGATACATTTACAATTTTAAAGCAATTTGGAAGCCAACCATTGCCTCAATCACTATAATAAAATAAATTCTAAATACCTATACAGTTCAGCATTTGATTTGGGGTTTTTATCATGGAAAATCATAACTCCCTTGCCCTCTTCACTCACCAGGATGTAAGTCCAGCTGCGGTTGTCCCCGCCACACTACTTTGTGGTGCTGAGCAGCCTGATATGCTGGTGCCCTGTCCATGCCATTGCCCCTTATTCCCAAGCCACAACCCCCTGGCCCTACTGGTGCCCCTCACTTCCCACCCATAGCCCCCCAACCCTACTGGTGCCCTTCACTCACCACCCCCAGCCCCCTGCCTACTCCAGCCTTGCCAGAGGGCCCCCAGATGTACCTGAGCCCCAGCTGCTGCCCATCAGAGGTTGCAGCTGATGTAGTGGAACAGAGCATGGAACCTGGCTCCCCCTCCTCTATGGGGAGCGCAGGTGGAGCAGAGCCTGTGGAGTGGGGTGGGGTGGGGTGGGGTGGCAGATGCGGGATGCCTGCTGTGGGCTCAGGCTCCCTGCCCTTCTTCCCTGCCCTAGGGCCTCCATGGCTCAGCAGGAAAGACCTGGCATGGCAGGGTAGAGTGGGGCGGGGAGGCTTATGCTGCTGCTGGGAGCCCTGCCCTGCCATGGCAAGGCACCCCCTGCCTACCCAGCAGGGAGCACAACTTTGCGCCACCACCCTTGCTGCTGCTGAGTGGGCAGAGGGTGTCTCACCACAGCAGTGTGGGGCTTGCAGTGGCAGCACCAAGCTTCCCCACCCTGCTGTGCCTTGCTGCACCAGGTCCCACCTGCTGGGCTGCAGAGGCCCCAGAGGGAAGGCAGCAGGGTGAGGAGCCTGAGCTTGAAGTGGGCAGCCCACCCTTGCCCCCCCCCCACAAATCTGGGGCGCACGTGCCTTCCATGCCCACCCCCCTCCCCAGGATTGTGCAGAATAGCAGGGAGCCACCACCCTGCCAACCCCTGATGAGCCGCCCTTGGCTCTGTCCTGCTCCCCGCCTGGGTCCTGTGGCGACACATGGCCCTGGATACCAAGCCAGCCCTGTCCAATTTCCTCCCTCCCTCACTATGGGGGCCTCAATCCCTCCTCTCCCAACAGACTTACCTGTGGGGAGCTGCTCTCCAGGCTACCTGGGAGCCATGTGCATGTGTACATGCACACATACAGATGGCGTCCCCTGCCTGTTGCTCCTCTTGCTCCCCCCAGCCCCTTGCAGGCTGGAACTCTGCCAGCCTGCAAGGGGAAAGCAACGTTTCCTGCATTTTTCTCCTCAAAAAGAGAAAATGTAGCTTTTACTGCATTTTTCCCTGGTGAACAGAAAACCCAGATCCCTGGAGGTAACCTTGTATGATTTATGTTCTCGCTGCAGTGACTGAAATCAATACTCTCACCAAACATTCATTAAAATTCATGTATGCTTCTCTGGCTACCTGGCTGCATGTCAGGAGTGCTTTCTCAGATTCTCAGAGCAGAGAATAGCTGGATGTCTGGAGATATCAGGAGTTGTGATGCAAATCTGAATTACACATGGCTATATTACTGCCAACCTACAAAGGGGTGGGGGAGAGGGACAAATAATAGCAAGGGCAATCACATATCTGGAACCAGAACACTACCTGTGAGTTAGGAGTGTATTTGCCTTGTGGAATGAGTAGAGAGATGTTTTATGTGGATGACAGTGTGATATGGATAAGAAGGTGAGCTGAATGCATGAATAATTTACAGTAGAAACACACTTTGAGGCTCACAAAAAACAGTGCTAATTCTTCAGAACTCAATTTATCAAAGTGAGAGAGATCTGGTTTGATTTGGTGATGCATGTAGGGTTAGGTAACCAGTTTCTTGTCTATTGTTGCTTTTTTTGATGCTGGGGGCCGTCTCTTTAATTGCTGCATTATTTTCATTTCAAATTTTCAAACTTTTCTTCACGACCATGAAAATTAGAAATGTTTCTTTTAAAGACATGCTTAGATTTTGATACCTTCATGAGCTTATTTTGCATCTTGTTAGTTTGGCCCTTTTATGATTGCTTTCTCAGTGAAGAGGAGACATGTCTGAGGAATACGGTGGATTTGTTTTAGCTTTGGAATCTGTTTTGAGTAACACCTCCTAAATACACCATGGATTTCGTAACCAAATTTAATATTTTCTTTTATATATGATAAATGTAATTATGACAAACTTTTACGAGCTTCTTGCAATGTTTAAGTAAACAAGACTGTAGATTTAACAAAGTTTGGCTTGTGATGAAAACAAAGGACATGTTTAAGCTTTTAGCATTAGCTTCCTGAGAATAATAAATTCATTGATTTACAAACCATAGCTTTGTTGTACTAGCTCACACACATTACAAAAACATTTTTTTAATGTGATTGTATAACATAGTTGTCCAACTTATTTATACCATGGTTTTAGATGTTTCTGTATACACAGAAAAACTTAACCAGGTTATACATCATAACTATATGGGTAGGCTAAATGTACCATAGTTAATGCATGTGTTTTTGTTTATGAAGGCAAAAAAAGTGTGTTAAAACCATGACTGGGCTGCACGCTATAGATGATTAGTTACAGGATATGTTTTAAGACAACAGAGAAGCACCCATCTTAAAAACAATTATTTCATTCAAGTATTAAAAATAGAGAAATCACAGAAGAGAAACTGCTTAAGAGAAATAAAAATGAGCATATGGCAGAGTCTGCATTAGCGCAGAGGTTCTTTGCTTACCCGAGGGTATAACATTTATCAGAAATTTTAACAGGACTGACTCTACTAAAGGGCATCAAGTAACCAATACTCACAGATCTACAGATGCCTGAAGTAACTGCATTGTTTCAACCAGAGAAACTGAATTGTTTATCTAAGTACATGCACTAATTTATTGATATGCATTTAATCAAATTAATTTTTAGAAAAATATGTATTATCACTGTTTTCATTTTAAGATTTTATAAAAATAACTTACCTTGGTGCATAGTTGCATATAAAATGCCCTGCATTTTTTATTCCTGCAACTTCAGGACAAAAGGAAACAGCACAGCCTACCTTATAAGAATTATCCCAAACAACCTAGAACAAAAAAATATATTTCTTTTACAAAAGGAAAAAGAAACTACTCAACAGTGATTGGTTATAATGGCAATATTAGTTCTCATGAAATAAATATCAGTTCAGACATGTTATCTATATTAGGTAGCCAGTTTTTTAGTTTCCAGAAAATAATGTATTTAGTAATAACTGGAAGTAAAAACAGAAGACCTCTTTACATAGAAATTGGAATGATAATGCATATTTCGATCATGCTTACCATGTATCTTATGGTATAATATGGACTTTGTATGTGCAAAGTTCCAAGGACTGGAACAACCTGCATGCTTTCCTGAGGGCCAGATTTTGGACATAAGTTCATATCCTAATATTGAAGGAAAAACAACTATGACAGCAGACATCCAATTACTGAAAACTTTTGCTGCCAAAGAAAGGCTGAAGTATAGGATAATATTTTGTTTGTGGAGATTTCTTATTATATAAACTATATTCAGTGGGAGAGACAGATATACACAAAAAACTAGGGTTGGGAAATTGGCCATTTGACCCTCTCCTGAGCTTTTTCAACCTCCTTTCTCTTGCTGCTATCAAGTCATGTGGGGGTTCAGGAGCTACTTTGTACTGGGAAAAGAATTACAATCAGCAGCATAAAAAACTGTCTCCCACTGGCCCTGTGCTGTGAATGCAGACACCTCCAAACAGAAGGAGAAACACAGTTCAGGTAGCAGGTAGCACGTCACAAATGCCCAGGAGTCAGGACTGCCCCTGAGTCTGTTGCACTTGCTGCAGGAAGTGCAGCAAGAGGAAGGCCACCTTCCCCTTCCACATGTTCTTCTGGGAGCAACTGGACCCTGGATCCTTCTAGAAGAACTAGCAAATTGCCCATCAAGAATGATGGATGAATTTCAAATGCCAATGCTCACATTAGCCTCACAGTAGGCGAGCAATTGTCTTCTCACAGTCACCAGGAGCCCAGCTCCCACTTTTCCTCAGTTGGCACTTCCCTCTCCCCTCCCCGCCGTGCCAGGCTCCTGGCACCCTTAAAGAGCATTATGGACAGACAGACACACAGACAGACTGACTAAGCCCTTTATATATATAGAATTCTAGATTCCCACAGGGTGGCAAACGTTGAACTTAATGTTTTGCACCTGGCTGGAAACAGGGGGTCTGATCATTGAGGATGTTGTTAAGTTGCCTCTGTCCTGGATGAACCATTACCTTCCAAAGGCACAGATCTCTGCCCCCGGCAAAGTGATAGATCATTTGGGCCCCCTTGAGACTCTTGGAGCCAGTAAGATTCAGAACTGTCTGGGGGATATTCCTGCTGAACCCGAGAGCTACTCTTTCAGTGCTCTGGTTGAACACCGTGACTTTGGCCAGACATGGTAATACCCAGGTATCCATTTCCACCACTGCAGCAGCACAGATCCCCCTGGTATATGAGGGAGTTGAGATAGCTTAAGTAAGAAACTAGACAAAGTGCAGGTGAAGCCATGTCAAAGCCAATCAATTATGGTATAGTTCCCTTTTAAGGAACTATGCTATGACAGAGGCAGCTGAAGAGGCTTTTTTTCTCCACTGCCACCACATATGCAAAGTGCCATCTGATGGAACCATTCTGGGTAGTAAATAGCCTGGTTAATTTGTGTTGTCTTTGCACAGAAACTAACTCACTCAGTCCTCTGTGATGACGAGTTTGGTACCAAACTGCATGCATTTGGCTTGGCAATGAATTAAGTTGCAGTCTAATTTCAGCGCTGGGGAAGCTTAGTCTCATCTAGTTTATATGGACCAGTTTCAATTGCTGTCATCCACTGGTAGGGGTGCCAATGTCTCCTTTTGGGAAGGTAAAGTACCAGATATTTAAGTGTGCATTGTGCAGCCCTTACTCAAAAAAGCATCTGTTGACATTGACTCCTCAGCCAGCTACTGCTGTATCTCCAATATCCCTTTCTCCGATATCCCTTTTTGGGGGAAGATCATTGAATAGGTGGTTACTCCAGGTATTTCTGGATGCTGTCAGATTCCTTTTGCTGTCTGTTTGGGTTTTGTTCTGGATACAGTATGGAGACTGTGCTTGTGGCTTTGGTAAACAATCTTTACCTGGAGATCAACAAGAGAAATTGCATCTTGTTGATCTTTCAGCAGCCTTTGATACAGTTGAACATGAGATGTTGATAATACATCTATGTGACCAAATGGACATTCATAGGACTGTTCTAAACTGGTTTTGCTCTTTTCTAGCACAGGAGGTCCTGAAGCATGGTAAGTGGCTGTGGTCTCCTCAGGACTTTTCTTGTGGGGTGCCTCAGGGTTCCATCTTGTCATCCCTCTTGTTCAATGTGTATCTGAAGCCACAGAAAATGATCACACGATTTGTAGTGAGTTGGCATCAGTATGCTAATAATACTTAGCTTTACCTGACACACAGGGTGAGATGAACATTGGGCTTAATGTTTTTTCCCTGTCTGGAAACAGGGAGTCAATATCTATATTAGACTCTTTCCATCCAATTCAGGCCTGCAGTCTGTGCCTGTCTACAGTTAAAGACTAGTGTAGCTGAATCATTTGGAACCAAATCCAGATGAGACAATGGTGAAGGTGGTGGGCAGACCTCAGGATTTAAAGAAATGGAGAGGGGATATGGTCATCCATTACTAATGGAATTTGGCCTTCCCTTGTCACTTGGGTCCACAGCCTTGGGGTGCTCTTGGACTCTTTGCTGCACTTGGATTCTCAGGTTGTAGTGGTAGCTAGAAGCACATTTCACCAACACCATCTGGTGCAAAGGTTGAACCTTTTCTTTCATATTCAGATCTGGTCACCATCATCCATGTTTTTGTAACTTTACGGCTAAACTACTGCAGTGCACTCTATGGGAGGCTGCCTTTGAGGACCATTTAGAGTTTGCTACTGGTACACCTTCTGATGCAGGTGGGTTGTCAGGACCATATTTCTGCAGTGTTCCATGGTTTGCACTGGCTACCAAGTTTTCTGTATGCAATTCAAAGTGCTGGTCTTGACTTATACAGCCCCTAATGGCCCTATGTACTGTCTCCTCTCATGCTCCATCATGATCCCTAAGGTTAGTTGAGAACAACCTCCTGCAAGCACCATATATGCACCAAGGTCACTTAGCCAAAACATATGGGAAGTTGCTCTCAGTTGTTGGTCATCAGCTCTGGAATGCCCATCCCCCTAAGGCCTGCCAGAGGCTAAGCCTGGCCATTTTTCAGAAGCCGGTTAAGACTGTTTTATTTGGGCAGACTGTTAGCAGGTAGAGTTAAGTTCTGAGTATTCTTTGGGGAACTGTTTTATCTGTTTTTATCTGAAGGCAGCATATAATAATAAATAAATAGAAGTCAAATAACTAAGTGCACAAATAAATGAATAAATAATGCAGACAGGATGTAGCAACACTTGTTGAATTCTTGTGATAGGTATCCAGCCACTATCAGATAGATTATAGCAGCAAGAAAAGGCACACTGGTCTCCATCAAGACTTGTGAGTGGTAGTGAAAGTGAAGCTAGTTCCATTTCTACATCATCTAAGAATTTTGCTACTCCATGCACTTCAGAATATGTACTCCTGGAAAGTCTTTAGAAATTCATCAAATTGGTATTAAGGGTTTTTCTGGACCAGATTTCCAGTGACCACAAAAATTAACTTGATCATATGTTTACTAGAAGGGTATAATCAACTTCACGGTTACAATTCCAAAAGCATTGTGAATTTCAGTTCACTGTTGAGCATCACTATACACCCAGATCATATTTTTAAACTGGTCAGCAATATAGTCACTGAATTAGGTCCACAGAAGATTATTTTGGTTGTGACTGACACTGCTGCTAATATTAAGGCTTTTTCAGCTTGTTGATAATTGATGTGCACACCTTGCACCTCATTTGTGATGTTGAAGATCTGACAACTTACTTATCACATGTATTAGAACTGAAAAACATTGTCAAGGTTTTCAAAAGCAAATGAGCATCTGCACTTGACTGAATTCACAGCAAGTGAGCCTTAAATTTCTCAAAGATCTTTAAGATCGTGCAAGAAGGCACTTTAGTCAGCTGCTGTTAAAGGAATGGTCGGTGTTGCTCTGGAATAATCCACACTGATATCCTTGATGATGACAAGGTCTCCTTTGGCTGAGAAACTCAAAATTAACTCACTGCTTGAGCGTATAGCTCAGTCCATTCAGAATATGGAAAATTATATGAGTTCTTGATCATTAAGAAACATTTTTCCATGTTTCTGATGATGAATTTGATTCTGTTTCTACCTTACAGTGGCTGTTTAAATTATAATGGATATAAAAAACAAAAAAACAATGTATTAAATTATAAAGTAAGCAACAACCCATTCCATGGAATCCCAGAAATTGAATCAAAATAATTTGCTCCTTCATCAGGAAAGAGTTGGACACTCTTTGTAGTTTCACAAGAGTGGTGAAAATTCTTTTAACATTTTCATGCACGACTGCACTTGTGAAACAAAATTGGTCAGTTTGGAGAATTATCCATTCAAACATCAAAAAAAAGATTGAAGAGCTCCACTGTTGGGAAGCTGGTGACCATTTTAGATTAGAAAAGAAAATGGAAGATGAAGAGTTGAATTTGTAGTCAGATGGACATATGTATGATTATGATGATGATATAGATAATATCGTCGAAGCTGATGAAGATAATACAAAATGCTTGAAGAGCCTGCTGTCTACTTAGCATAACTGCATTTAAAAACTCACTTTTATTTTTTATATTATTTTTATCTATATATTTATGTCTGTTTAATTTCACTGTTCTATTTTGCAAAGCAAAAAAAAGAACTGTTTGGTTTTGAATATTGTTTCCATTCATACTTGGAAACTAGCATTGTTAGTAATAACTCATTACTTTTTTTTTGGAATTTCATTTCATGGTGTCATAGTAACAGTTAACTTTTTAAAAAAGTTTAGTAAGTATGTAACCTATTGAAAATTAAAGTATCTTTCTTTACTGTTCTTATATACAGGAAA